CATAGGACACGGCAGCAGTGTCATGCCCCAGCTAGTTGTGTTTCTCTCATGAGCTCACTCCAGATTGTTCCTACTCTCAGTGAGGTTATCTAGCAGTGAGATCAATATATTAAGCATAAATTACACAAAGCAGCAGTTTATTGCCAGCTCCTGGATGTCCTGCTTCCCAATTTCATTGAATATCTCCCTTCTTTTGAAGTACAATTCATAGAAACATCTGTCTCACCTTTCTGCCTTCAGCTTCAACTTTCTCTGCAATTCACATATAAGTCCCTAAATAAGTGCTTTCTTTGGGGATTTCTTCTTAAAAATTATATGTATCTGTTTCCCCTACAGATATAACACACAAATCATAGAAGGTAAAGATGATAAAATCCTAGAAGGTTGTCTGAAGCAATGGAGAATTGTCCCTCATTGTACAAAAGTAATTTTAAATGCTTCAAGCATAAAAAGCGAAACAATTTAATCTATAGGCAGTTCTGAGTTGGACTCAACTTTGCTTAATTTCATCTGCTATTTCAGCCATTCTAGAGCCAACACTACCATTTACAAAATCCTTATTTGCATATTTTAATTTATGCACGGTAGCATCTATGATCGGTTTCTTTAAACATGCTGCTAAATTTGGATTCCTTCCAGTACTTCACAGACACTATGTACAGAGCAGAACTCTTCAGGGAATCAAGGAAAAATTGCCATTTAAATAATAAAATAAATCATGTATATATTTTCAATCAGAGTAGTTTAAAATATCACTGTTACTTCCAGGAGCTGTATCAGAGAGCAGAGACTGGCACCCATTTCCACTTCTTCTTTGAAGTCTGAAATGAGATCTTGTTTTGTACAGAGGATTCTAATTTATATGTAGCTGTGTAAGAAGAAGCAAATAATTATCTCAGATTTTTGAGGCACTGAATGACATTCAAAGGTATTTTTGACAAATCTAAGTTATTTTGATATCTGCCCTGTTTAGATAGCATTTACCTCATTTTTACATAACTTATACTACTTTTGCTAAAACTATTAGAAACCCAGTAGCTACTGGTCTCTCAGTGAAGACCAACACTTACAAAGATATATAACACTTACAAAGGTATATAAACATATAGCAAGTGATAGATTTTTTACATACCTGTTGACTTTGAAATGTGTTTTAGGTGCAATGGCATGAAAACTAATTCACTTGTGTGCACTGTGCTACCTATTCACTTACCTATATTTCTGTGCAAAAATACTGAAATATCTCATTAGAGACATCTCTGTTGCTTTATCATCATCGACTTTATACTCCCTCTAGATCTTTCCATTTGGGTGATTTCATTTGCTCAGATAATCAACTGTCTTTTTAATAGATTTAGGTAAAATAGATCTTCCACAAATCTGCCCAAAATCCTGCCAAGGAATATATATTGCTAATACCCAGAGCAATGTCCTGTACAAAAAAAGAAACAACATGAAAGACATATTAATCTTTAGCCTTGTAACCCAAATACCTTCATTGATAAAGGCTATTACAGTGATTTGCCAGAGAGAAGTGAGTTGTTTGAGCACATGGATTTTTGGGTTTATTTGCTTTTCTTTAGAAATGTGAGAGATCATGCTGAGCAAGACATTTGAACTTAATCTGCCCAGGGGTACTATTAAGGACGTGTTCTAAAACCCAGAAATACAGTATAGTCTCTGTAGTAGTGTTGACAGGAAGGTGTCAAGACTAGTCACATAAAATTACCTACCTTTTTTAAGAATTTCTTTTCCCAAACTATTACTACTAGTTTTAGGTATATAAACAAATACAATTTTTGTAACAATCTTACAATCTATATCTTGTAAACTACTGTTTTTCTTCCTCTAAACTAAAATAAGCTGTGCAATGTTGAAAGAGAGGCAAAGACTGAAATATCCTTCTTAAGAAGAATATTTGTTTCTCTGCTGCACCTCCTAGAAATAGTTCTACTCTCAAATTACCAATGAAGGCTAACCAGGCACTGAATTTTTGCAGTGCTAATTAAGATAGATGGGAACAAGGTTATCAGCTGGTACAAGTCCTCACTGTGTCATTTAAGCACACTCATGAGGAGGTAGATTTAATTTCAGACTGGCTCATCTACTCAGCGTGCTGTCTGCTCATCCTAACCAGGTGTAAGTTGTTGCAAGTTGGATCAATGAAGACAGTAACCTGTGTTGGCTGGGAGCGACGATCTGCTGGAGGGTGGGAAGGTGCTGCAGAAGGATCTGGACAGGCTGAATTGATAGGTTGAGACCAATGATGTGAGGTCCAGCAAGGCCCATGCAGTGCTACAGGCTTGGGGCAGAGCGGTTGGAAAGCTGCCCTGCAGAAAAGGACCTAGACCAGCTGACAGTCAGTGGAATGTGGAATGTGGAATGTGGAATGTGGAATGTGGAATGTGGGGTAGCAGTGTGCCCGGGTGGCCAGAAAGGCCAGTGACATCCTGTCTTGTATCAGCAATAGTACGGCCAGCAGGACCAGGGCTGTGATCATCCCCCAGAACTCAGCACTGGTGAGGCCACACCTTAAATCCTGGGCTCAGTTTTGAGCCCCTCACTACAAGAACAACACTGAGGTGCTGGAATAGGTCCAGAGAAGGGCAACAAAGCTGGGGAAGGGTCTGGAGCACAAATACTGTAAGGAGTAGCAGAGGGAGCTGGAGGTGTTTAGCCTGGAGAAAAGGAGGCTCAGGGGGGACCTGATCACTCTCTACAACCACCTGAAAGGAGGCTGTGGCCAGGTGGGGATCAGCCTGTTCTCCGAGGTAGCAAGTGACTGGACAGGACGAAGTAACCTCAAGTTGTGCCAGGGAGGTTTAGATTAGACGTTAGGAAAAATTTCTTCACTGAAGGGGTTGTTGAGCTCTGGAACAATCTGACCAGAGAAGTCACAGATTTTATCACTATCCTTGGAGGTATATAAAAGTCATGTAGATGTGGCACTCAGGGACATGGTGTAGTGGTGGAGTTGGCAGAGCTGGCTTTACAGTTGGACTTGATGACCTAAAGGTATTTTTCAACCAAACAATTCTGTGATTCTTTTCTTTTATTCTGCTCTTTCCTCTTAATATCATACAATTCCTGTTCCTCCATCTGTTAGAAGCATTCAGTACCTATTTCCATTTCAATGCAGCTGAGAATAGGTTTGTCTACAGTATTTTAATATAAAACGAATATACATGGTGTTTTACTTTGTTCTGGACATGTAAGATTTGTTAATGAAATATAAAGCATGAAAGCAAATAACTTTCCATGCTCATTCCTACAAGTCACTCAAATTCATTACAGTATTTTTTCCAAAGCAGTCTGTTAAGTCCAACCACAAAGCCATTAAGCACAGGAGTAGGTCTGTTTCAAATTAATGCAGCAGGTGGGCACATCACAGACAAGCAGCAGTGTGGCATTTCCCAAAAGGGAGTATCATTGTCATGAAATAAGAACAGAACTACTGTATAGCTCAAGGGGATAAAAATGGAAGCAGATTTTTGCACAGGTCCCACACCTAGAAATTAAGTCACCTCCTGTGACAGAAGTCATCATTAGGCTGCTAAAGTAATTGTCTGAAATTCAGAAAATACCTTTGTTTATGGGCTGTAGCCAGGACACTTAAAAGCTAGTTTAATTTCTTCAGTGCTGTGAAGTATGAAAAACTTTTTTGTATCGTGAATCATCAGTTTCTTTTGAGGAAATCTTTTTGTTTGTTTCAGTTTTTTGTTTGGTTTTCCTTGTTTAGAATAATATATAATTTTAGTTTTGGGTTTTTTGTTGGATTTTTCTCCAAGAAAACATCAATGCAGCAGCATCTTACAGAGACAGAGGTTTATAGCCTAAGAACCTCACGTTACATGTTCACACAAAATCTGTCCACTTTGAACAATCCGAGGACCAAAATCAAGAGCAGAAGAAACGTGAGAAAGGAGCTTGGGAGTGTCAGGAGCTTGTCCCTGCCCAGATCACAACCCGGTCAGTCCCAGTAAAGGAATGGAGAGGCCAAGGTTGGACCTTCCAGTGTGCAAATATGGTTCTTCACATGGCAAATCTCTTAATGGTGTCTGCAGTCCAGGCTGGTGTGGAGATATCTGGCATTCAAAGGCACCACACAGCAGCTCCTGCCCTGCACTGGGGCTCAGCACCACTCTGTGTCTCTCTCCTCAGCCTGGCTGCATCTTCTCAGTTCTTAAATTAATTCATCAAGCACAGTAGGACACTGTTGGGAAGACAAGAGGAAGAACCTGGCTGACCTCCGGTTGTGGCAAGGAATTGTTCAGGCACAGGCATGCAGGAAGCCATTGCCCAGAGCTGCAGTCTGGGAAGAAATCATCACATCCATTTGGGGGAATGACTGTGTAGGTCATGGCTTAGCTCCCAACTCAGTCAAAACCAGACACAGATTTGCTAAACCTGCCATCTTAGCAGCTTCATTGACTAAGACCTCAAAACGCAATGTCTCTGTAAAGTTACCCACCTCTTCCTGCCACCCGTCATGGCCTGAACTTCATTACTGGACCTCTAGGTTCTTCTGTAGGCTTGCTTTACAGGAACCTGGGGCCTGGTTTAGAGAAATCTCAGTTGGCTCACCTTCACTTAAATCACTCAAAGATTTCCTTCCTTAAGTGTAAAGCATTGAGATATTCAGTTGAAGAAACATAATAAAAACAAAGAGGCATCTTTATTAGGGTGAAAACTACACTCATCACAGAGGGATTTAGTGATACTTGCTGATTTTCATAAACCTTAATTTCCCTTCCTAAAGAGTTCTGGTTTGGGCAGTGTCCAGGAATGAGACCTGTATAGTTATCTAGACTACAATCTGCCCTAAATTAATTTTTAAAGAGGTTTGGGGTTTTTTTCTGTATACATGATGTTGTGTACCTTGGAAATACTTGTGCATAACAAACTTTTTACAAGTTTATTGGAGGTTTTTTTTAAAACCATATTCTCTCTGCAACCCTGAGATAATTTCTTTTCCACATGTCTTTTCCCATATTTTTTAGGATACCCTGAAAGCTTTTGATCGGGAAGTAAATGCATTTGTGGACTATATGTTTGGACCTCGAGGTAAGCTGCTCCACTTACAGGCCTTTAATGAAATAATACTTCTAGAGATTACCACCCAAAAAACTTCTAAAAAATTTGCTGAGTAACTTATTAATGAAAAATGTAAACTAGGCAGAATCACAGTATTTTCAGGAAGACACCATTATTGTAGCAAATCTATCAATACAGTGATTTATGATTCCTTTGTTTCTGAGAATATCAGAGAAATTCAATTTTCCTTCCTAACATGGAATAAAAATGGATCTTTCTGAAAGTGGAAGATCTGCTTTGGGACTGATTGTCATTCATAATCCAGTTTGTTTTGTGCAGCTACTTATTAAATTACCTAATTCAGAAGGATGCTTAGAGCAAAAGCAACCTGAATGATCACATCCAAAATTTCAATAAACCAATAGATTGGATGGGAGAACAGATGCATCTTTTGACTTCCTATTATTGCTTTTCTGGAACAGTTTGGACAAGAGTAACTTAAAGAATTGTAGGTTGGAGGTGCCTCATGCTTTGTTAGGATTGAAACAAGTAAGTAAAAAAGAAACCAAACCTAAAATAGGTCTGCAGATGAGGATGAAGCATCAAAGGCAGGGCTAAGAGAGCCAAGCAAATACAAGAAAAGGATGAGACAGGAACTTAGACAGGACACAGTCTTCAGAGTAGGCCCCTGCAAGTCCCCCTTGCTGTTGATAGGGCTGGGTTTCATTTCAGGAATTGCCTTGCAAACTTTTACCCATAGTTAAATCCAGAACTGCTGCTGTGGGGATGGATGCATGATTAAGGATTCCAAATTTTTTGCAGTAAAGTTCTCCATGTCACGGGAACAGTTCTTGCTTAATTGGAAGTAAAAGGGAAAGATGTGTTCTTAAACACCAGAAATTCTAATTTTTCTTAGCTGGCTGGCTGGCTACAAAATCTTTTCCATCATATCTTCAGTAGATGTGAAGTTTGAAAGAAATATTTCCAGTGAAGAAACACTGAATAGCTTGGGAACTGCAGCAGCAGAAGTGGTTAAAGCAGAATAGGTTTTGTTAATGGCTTCTATAATAGCACATTTTAATATTAACAAAGAAATGTGATCAGAAGAACAAAAGCGCTACTTTTTGGTGTTTTATTTTGGTTGTGTTTTTTTTTTTTTCCAAATAAATATGATGTCCTCTTTTATTCCTCTTTCCTTGTTGGTCCAGACAAATTGTCTGAAGGATTACGCTATAGCTGATCCAATTCTGAGTAGCACAGAGATCCCTTTGGGATTTTGGAAAGCACTTCAGTTAAACAAGTATTATTTGTATTGCTTGCCAAGTACATCACCATCCCATCCTTCTCCAGACATCAGTGCTGAAGTTAGCTTTGTTTGTCCACGTCTCTGTGCTCTGATCTTTAATTTAAATGGTGGTATAATGACACAGTATCATACATCAGCTGAATAGCATATCTCCCTCCAGTGTGTTTATCCACATAAATAATTCACATAAATAATTCACATAAATAATTCACATAAATAATTCACAATAGACTGCAATCAGTTTTAAATTGAATGACCCCACAGATGAATATCTAATGAATTTGAGAGCTTCCCCAAACATCTAAACCCACAAACAATTCCTCTTCTACCTCTCTACTGATTTTCATCCACAGTACACACTTCATTCAGCAGCAAGATGGATTAAAAGGATAGATAACAGCACTCAATTATTTTAAAAGGCAATCCCCTATTTTTTTGTTTATATTTTAGGTAGTAACTCCTGGAGTACTTGTGTCATTATGCAGGTCTTTGTCATCATTAACAGATGTGTCTGAGGGCACTAGAAGAGACAGAATGCCTCTGGGAACTAGAGCGTGGCTATCTCTGTCACGCTGGTAGCACCAGGTTAACACAAGCTGCAGTGCTGCCTGATTCCAGTGAGGGACAGGCTATCAAAGATCTGAATTTGATTTATAAATATTGGCATATTTTGTACCTTCATTCACTGCTATCAGCTGGGCTTTGTAGATTTCCTCTGTGTTTGCTTTCAAACTAGCAGAACAAGTCCTTTGGATTAGGAACAGCAGCCATATACCTGCCCATTGGTTTAATCTCTAAGTAAGGGGTGGTCTTACAATTTGGTGTTGGTCCCTCTTGTTCTTATGCTCAAGGCAATTTGAGAAGGAGTGAAATAGCAATTTTCTTCTGTAAAAGATAATTTTTCCAGTCTAGCTCTTCCTCTGCAGAGTATTGTTTGGTGTTTTACAAAATTAATATTGAATTGCAGGAGCTAAATCTAGTTGACTGGTTGGTTGTTTTATCTGTGAAAGAGACAAGAGGTGGTCAAGAAGAGATGTATTTTGTTAAAGTTATGATAAAGTAAAAAGCACTTTTTCTTAATAGACACTGATCAGTAGCAAGGCACTGGAGCAAACCCATCTAACCTCTGCACCTTAAAAAGGAGTGAATTTACTCAGATGCTGACTGGCCATAGCTATAGAGAAACTTGAATCAAAATGTTTCTCAACCTCATTGACAAAGGCCTGATATGTTCAAAGAGCCTGGGAGGCCTGCCACTCATTGAAAAGGAGCCAGGATTTCACCCCAAGGGTTTGGCACACGATGGCCGGTGACCGTGAATGAGCTTATTCATGGAGCGATCAGAGCTTGCGGGCGCCTGCTCCTTCCCCTGCTGTAGTCCAGTGCTTTCCCACTGTGACTTTATTCACTGCTTTGGTCTCAATTTCAGATGCTGTGCAACTTCAATACCATAAAAATAATCCTTTCTCATATTGACAGTGTAACTTTATGGTACTTGAACACAGAGTTTTAACTGTCAGTCAACAGAAATACTTTTCAACTCTCATTCTTCTGATAACTTCTCTTGAAATACATTCCCTTTCCTCCCCCTTCTTGACACACAAAAACCTCCCTCTACTTGTCATTCAGGGATAGGTGGAAGTGGAAACAAAACAGTCACGTTCCTTGGCTGCTCTTTATAAACCACTTTCTGCCAGAAACTGTCTTACTCTTCAAGGTATTGAGGTCGTGGTGGGAAATATTCAGGAAGGGTACATGTTTAAACAATTTCTCTTGAAATTGGAATACTACAGGACTTAAAAATACTTGGCATGCTGACCTGAACAAGCACACAAGTTCTGCTTTTGTGTGGATCAGCCCACATGCTTGTGGCCACTCATAGCAGAATGAAAACTTCCTGAGGGCATACTGGGACAAAATTTATTCTGTGTAGTTTAATTTGCATTCTGAACTCTTCTGAATTTTTTTCCTTTTTGATCAAACATGCTGTTTTGCTATCTACTGATACCAATTTGCCTTTGTGCATGTAACCTTTATGTACCAAGTGTTAAAATCCTCAGATGGGAGACCTTTCCTAAGACAGCAGTCTTGCTGACATGACTGCTTTCTACATCTTCATTTAGGATAGCAATTAAATAAATTAAAACCTTATGCTCCTAAAACACACACTCCTAAAACATCAACACTTAAACATTTAACCTTTACCTGTCCTGTGACTCCTGTGTCACGGTGAGAGCCCGTAAGGGAGCAGAATCACTTCTAAAATATTCATTCTAGTGCTTCACATATGGCTTGTGAGTTTTAGGAGATTGTTGAAAGTGTTTCCTTCTCACACTAAGGTAATCCTAATAAGCACTGAGATCTGAAGACAGACAACAGACGTTCTAGCTTGGTAATGCACCACAAAGCAAGACTGCCATAAAAGGAAGGACTCTGCTCTTCTGACTGCTTTAATCCTACATCTCTTTGCTCCTAGAGGTTTTTGGGAGTCCAAAAGGGAGAGTCAAAACCAGGAGAGCATTGGATTTCCATGCCAGTGGTGGCCTAGTTGAAAGTCTTTCCTGCGGAAGGGCTAACAAGCCTCATGGAATCCAAATTCAACAGAAGAATGTTACAAACACTGTTATGGAAGTGAGGGGGAGGCAGAGAGAAAAGCAATGAGAAAGAAAGCTGGTGTTCAAAGCCTAGCTCATATGCAAGTTACTCCAACATATGTAAATTTTCACTTTACATATACCTGTATGCAAATATTTCTGAGGAAGGAATTGATGGAAAGAATACAGTACAACAAATTCCAATAAATTACTAATTGTTTGGGCACATTTACTTGGTGCATCACCCATTACCCAGTCTTTTCCAATTTCAGCACAGGGAGAAAAACAGTAAAATTGTTTTTTCATGCACTGTGAATAGTTTTTGTTTTACAATCTTTAAAACCATCTTGGCCTTTATAAAAAAATAATCTAAGTAATTTAAAACACTTTCCAAGAGCAAAAACATCTTTCTAAGAACAGAAAGAACAACTTTCTGTGGGACCTGCACAATGACTCCTCACTGACTTCTTTCTTCACTTGCTCCATAAGTCATTCTAAAAACTAGTTGTGGTGCCCCCTTGTTCTTTCCATAGGTGAATGGCTGAAGAATGTTGCTATGGAAAATTGACTCTAGATTTTGCTCCATCTTGGGAAAACAAAAAAGAAAAGAAAGCACACCCCTTTCACTCATGACATTCAGTTGCTCGTATGACAACAAAGTGGTGCCTCCAGCTAGGCATCTGGGATTAGGCTTTGCTCATATACACTGAACTATCTGATTACTGCCAATGGGATTACTTGTGTGAAAAAGGCAAGCAGGATTTGACCTTAATATTTCATTTCAGGACCAGGCAAGTGGGACAGAAACTGTGAGAAAGTGAGACCTCAGCCAAAAATCTTTGATAACCATCAAAGTAAACATTTGACACTTGCTTTTCATATTTAATATTTTTGAAAAGTCTTCCCCTTGTATGAACATTTTCTAGTCAGTGCCATATACTTTCCTACCTGTATGGCAAGTGCAGATTTAAAACAGCATGTGAGCTGGCAACATTACATGCATACTTTGGATTTAATACTGTCTCCAAATTGTCTGTTGAGCAGATTAAGATAGGATTTACATAAATATTAAGTGAAAATGTTAATTAAATTTTTTTAAAACATTCATTTTCCTTCCTTTCTCTTTTATTTTCTCTTTACTATTAAAATTAGGTGATTGAGGTGACCTTAAATTATTAGGGAATTCCATGCAGTTTTCAGCCCACATTCTCTGAGACTTAGCATGCAGTTTTGATAAGTTAAAAGCAATGGATATCTCTTGTGAGGAAAGAATGGCTGATTCCATCCCACACTTTTAGCAGATTCTTTTCATTATGTGTTCTGCCTCATTTTAGCAATACTTTATCATAGCTTTCTTAATTGCCTGCTCTGTGTGTTTCTTTTTTTAGATACCAGGGTTAGAGGATGGTTCCTTTTGGACTCTTACCTTCCCACATTTTTCCTTACTGGAGCATATCTACTCTCCATATGGCTGGGCAACAAGTTCATGAAGAACAGGCCTCCTTTCTCTCTCAGACCTCACCTCATCGTGTATAATCTGGGCATCACACTGCTCTCCTTCTACATGCTCATAGAGGTAAGTGCTCTGCAATGCAGCGTGGCTGAGGAAGGTGACCAAAGTTCAGTTTTTAGCAGAAATATCTTAGTGGCAGGTGGTTTTGCTAGGAACGTTTAAATCAACAGCAAAATAATATTTAAAAGCTCCTTCTCATCTTAGATCTTGGCATGTGTTGATCGTCCTTCCTGAGCTACAATCCACACCTGGGGACAGCTCTTTGCTGTCCAGATTGTGTCCACAAGCATAAATTTGAATCTAAATTTGAAATGTCACTCTGCTCAAACGTGCCTATAACCTTGTCCTTCAGCACCCATGAAAATGCCTTAGATTGGGCTTTATTTGTATGACTCACTGTGGAATGATTTTTCCAGGCCCATGTTTAAACACAAATAGATTTATAGATGAGAACAAGTACTGATTTATTTATGGTACTGGCAATTCAGCGTTATTTTTCTGCTTTTGTGACTAAGAAGCGTTCCTCATACAGTCAGACAGTAAAAGACAGATGTTAAAAACTTACCGCTTCATCCCCAAGGGCTGTGGGGATTGGAGGATGAATATGGTCACATCTTATTATTTCCCAAGTACTTATCAGAAAGGAACATGCTTATATAATTCAGGATCCATTTAGAATCAGAAGAGAGGTTTGAATGCATTGATGATTTTGCAGCAGAAGAGGATTCAAACAGTGCCCCTCAGCAGATATGTGTGGTTTTACTTCTGCAGAGGGAAACAGAAGCCAAAAGTCACTATTTGGATATTATTTGGGAGCTGCCCTTTTTCAACCTTCTGATAACAGTAATACTTTTAATATTAAGCTGTTAACATACATTACTTGAAGGCCTCAAAACCAAATACTAAAAGACAAAACCCACAAAACCGTTTTTGGTTTTTTTTGCCGAAGAAGTGGCCCTGGGCATGAGAAGCTCTGGCTGAAGAGTGTGCTTGATTTCAGTGTGCTTGATTTCAACTGACACTGCTCTGTTACCTGCACAGCCTTGTAGCATTTTTCACTTCCGGGGCTCTTGGCTACAGTTTCCACCTTACTCTGTTGGCTGGACAAGAAACTTTTCAGAAGCCGAACAGGACACCCAAAGTCTTCGAGTTTTAAATTAATTTGAGCTAAACAGCAAGTGACTGGCCTGGTCAAATGGCTGAGAAGCAGTTTAGGTTTGTGCCTTTGTGCAAAGGACTTGACTGTGTTATGCAGAGCTTTATCCTGGTCAATGCTCCAGCTGGCTTCAGAGGCTGCTGTGGGTGTCTGGGAGTGCAGGATAAGATTTAGAGCAAAGGAGAAACCAGCACAATTGCTGGAAGGTTTGATGACTCCACAGTCATTGTCCTCCAGAATTTAAATTAGTACTTTGATGTTTAAATCCCCATTTTGCTTGAAGGTATGCAGATAAATGGCTGCAGTAGCAGGACTCAGCAAAAAGGATTAGCTGAATAGAAAACAATACTGCTGCTCCCTTTACCTTCCAGTCTCATTGGCCTACCACAAGTAAATAAATGGAAGAACAAAGGCAATTTTAGCAGGTCTCATTTGCATGAATTAAGCAAATTTGATTTTAGCCACCTTCACATCCTGGTAGGAACTGTATTTAGCCACCTCCTGTTCAGCTGCCTTCCAGCGGCTAACTTTGCTGCAGTTGTGTTAGTCCTTAGATTAGTCCCTTGAGACCTTGATTCTGAGGCTGGAGACTGCTGATTTACACCTCCCAGATGGCAACAGGGCATGGATGGCAGTGCCAGCTCACAGCTCCACATTCTGCAAATTTGGGCACCCAGGGAACATGGTGGCTGATCTGCACTGCCAGCTGTTCTACTGCAGATTTCACTCTCAGCTCTGGACTGTCAGCCAGGCTGGTTTTACACTGTACAAAACACACTTCCATTATACTGGCTCTGTATTTTCTCTTAGTCTACTTCCCTGGCTCCCATCACAGCTTCTCCTGCGAAGGAGCAGAATGGAAGTTAATACTTTCAGTCCTGCCTGAGGTTGCCTGCACATCCCTGCTGAAGAAAAACAGGCAGAAATCATCTTCATTACCAAATAAAGTCATGGCGATTCATTTCCATGGCGAAGCATTTCCAAAGCTTCTCTCTATGCCCCTTATTCTCTCAATCTTTTGTGGACAGTAAGCTCTTTAAGGCAAGAGTTACCTATATTTAGCACATTCTGCACAGTGGTTCCTTATGTAAACACAGTTGATCCTTCCAGTGACTGTGATCCAGGATCAATTCCTCGTTAGACACATCTACAACAGTTGTTTTATTCCTCCATCCTCTCAATGCACCTACACCCCTCTGGTCTCTACTGGGGATAAATCACAAAATAAGCAGCTCTACTATAGATATAAAATATATTCCCTCCACCTGCCACCAAAAGAAACCCCCATAACCAATCATCTTTCTTTGTTCTGTTTGTAAGATGCCACACAGCATTTCTTGCAATAGCTCAAAAATGTCTTGCTTCTTAGACATCCAAAAGAAAAAAAAAAAAAAAATCTCATTCACAAGAAAGGGTGTACCTCCAAATAGAACCTGTTTCACATTATGGATTTAATGAGAAACATGGTAAACATGCTGATGGGGGTACCTGTGCTTCAATTCTTCATCTCCTCACTAGTTATATCTGGTTTTTATAGCTATATATATATATATATATATATATATATATATATATATATAGCACGACAGTTGATTTGTGCAACCTCAAGGCAAGAAGACGAAGGTGACAGCAAAGAGTCATAACAAAAGGGCTGTTTTTAAATCTCCAAGGGAAGATTCCTCTTTTGAGCCAGAGCTCCATGCACTGCACAGTGGGCATGAACTATCTGGGAGCCGATTTTATCTCTGAGCTTTGAGGTCAACCACTCTGCAAAGCACTTGGAGGAACAGCTCCAGGACAACTCTAAGATGTGCATGAGGTCAGATACCCCTACGATCCCCCAAGGACAAAGTCTAAAGCTGAACAGCTCTGCCCAGCTGCCCTCATCCGAATGAGATATCTCAAAATTTTTGTGTCAACAGAGAATTAGGTGCCTCTGAAGGCCTCCCAGAAGGGCAACTTATTAGACCTTTAGACCTCTGAGTCTGGCAAATAGATTTTCCTGAAGTTGCCAAAGTTGCTTACTTTTCCCAGCTGAGTATGGTCAAGTTGGCACTTGGGTTTGGAGCATATTTTTTTCAAGTACCTGAAGCTTAAACACAGGTCCTGTGCATAGACTGGGCAGGCCGCAGGTGGGCTGCTGAGGAGGAAAAAGACAATTCCTTCCACCCTTGCTGCTACCAAAGAAAGCCGCATCAGAAGTTGGTTATTGTTGTGTACCTTTCTCTACCAGTAATTGCTCAGAGACCCAGATTAACTCTACTGATCCAACAACTTCTAGAACATTGTCAAACTCTGTATAAGGAAAAACAGCAAGCACCTTTTTACTTCAACAAAAATCAAAACTTTTAACAATTTCCCCTAAGAAATATATGCCTTTTTTTGGCACAAATCTTTGCTTAAGATGCTAAAATTACCAACTATGAGCAGTAAACCAGCTTACTGTGAAAAAACATCACATCTGTGCATATTTCAGAATTGTTTCTTACAAACCACACTTTAGGGATGCAACCTGAGGTACCAGAGGCCAAACTGTCACAAGTTCAGTGATAAATTTAAGCTGGAAACAGGGGAGAATGGTGCTGATCTCTGAATTCTGAAATTACTCAGGTGAGGATACTCTCTCTCACTAATAAGAATAGACATAATCTCTGCCACAGTCCTAGGCTGCTTTCCCCAGCAGTAAGTATCACCTCTGCCCTATTTAAATCAAATCTCAGCTGGTCATCAAGGTCCCATCCAAGTCTGTCTGTTGATCAGGCGCTGAGAAAACCAGGACAGTGGCACCATTTGGGTCAGATTAAAAAGGAGATCTAGAGATATGTGTCATTAGCAGAGAGGTGGCGTGATGTCTCAAGCTGCCTGTATCCCCAGGTAGCTTCTCAGACTTATTACAAATCCATGGGATTTGTAAGCAAGCAACCACATCCATGTAGGCAAGCAGGACTTGCATGTGAGGACCCCTCTTTTTGTGCAAAGGGAAAAGAGCAGAACTCACAAGTATTGCCAACCCAGTGCATTAATCTTTCTAGAGGAGCCAGAAAAAACAAGTCTTCTACCTTGCAGGATTCAATAAAATAAAAAGCAGCAAAATAAATATACTTCAGCTGTTTCTAGGAGCTGAAAATTCATCCCACATTAAATCCAGTTTCTGAATTATAGTCATAACTTGCATATTCATTAATGCCAAGGTGGTGAGAGGATTCCTAGGAGTGCCAGAATGATCAGGGTCATCAGCGACCCCTTTTAGCCCTACACACTGCAATTGCAATTATATCTCACGTGTTATTAGAAAGTATAATGCCTGAATTAGACATAATGGGGCAAAACAAAGGGAACAAACCAAAAACAGAAGGAGCACTTAAACTCTGTTTGTTTCCATCATTATAATGGCTCACATCAGAAGGATTTGCTTCCTATCTGTGCAAGTGTTAAAAAGATGGCGCTTGTGTAACACAAGTTCTAAGTAAACCTTTAATGGTGCAGACAGTGGGGAAAGGTGAAAAAGATCCTAACCAATTTGAACTGTCCTGGAATTTTACTGTAGAAATCCAACCTCAACATAATGTTGCTTTTGGTGTTTGTTTTGTTTTGACTTTGCTTTCTGTTTTGATTTGTTTTTTTGCCTTTTTTTTTTTTTTTTAAGATTATGATAAATTGTTGTTTACTCCTTCATTAATTGTTCAGAAGTTAACAAATGTAAATTAAGTACAGAAATACAGAAAGATTCTTATCCATCAGTATTGATGCTTGAGGTGAAGGCTTCCTTTGAAGCAATTATTTAGTGGTGAAATATTATTTGTGGCTTAGGGCAGCAAGAGAAAAAGAACAAAGTGAGAAACCAGGAGAGATCAGGTGCACCTCTCTATCATTTGAAGAAAAGGAGAGTAGGGAAAAAGAAAAACCT